AAATACCAAACTACTTACCCAGGTAGAAAACAATTGTCAAAAACTCGTCAATGACCCTCATTTGACGTCAAAATGAGCTCAATCTAGCTACCTAGCCGCAGTGAATCTTGACGATGAACGTGAAAATGAGATCATTGTGACATCATTTTGACAAACATGTCCTACCTGGGTAAAAAGGCAATTAAAGTCTTCAGAGAAGATGTAATTCAAGGGACAACCTTGTCTGACATTTTATGTTCTATGTCACATTCTAGTAAGGTATTAATTGTTCCTCACACTTTCTAATCTCAATGTAACTGATAGAAATCAGCAAAGAAAATGAAAAAGTTCATTGCTGATGCCACCGGTAAGGAAACTTCTTATGCATCACAGAAAAGCGGTTTAAGTTGTTACATCACATTCAGTCCATTTAAAAAACTAGTTTCAAAGAAAATATCCTAGAGTACCAAATTTAATCAAAATTACTTAGGTCAGAATACATAAGAGTGGGATATGTCACATATTTTATCAGATCAACCATATGACTTTAAAATTGCAAAGAATGGTGCAGATTAGTGGCTTTTCAAGGCTATTTCAAAAATCAATGAACCAACCAATCAATTAATTCTTCTCTGCAGAGTATCATACATGTCAAATTCTAAAGGTAAAGATAATAAGTTGTACAAAGGGACTGCTATGATGTAACATTAATGAAAAGTGGAAACTGAGTAAAAGTCAAAGAGAGTTAAGGATTTAGAATTAATGAACCATGACAAGTAAACGAAATGTGAATGTAAATCATATCAGAACCAAAATTAAGTTTTCCAAATGTTTTAATGAACAAAGTAAACTATTTGCATTCTTTAAATAAGGATGAATGAGATGAAGTTGAACACTAAGACTACAGCAAATGATAAAAGTAGAAACAAGAGAAACAATAAACATGGGCTCAGGAAAACTTGTTGGTTCATTACAAAACATGTCATCGACTGTTAACAAAAAGAATTGAATGGGTTAGAGACAACATTCAAACATTATTATACAATGACCTATCATCACAATTCTTCTACAAAGGGCATAAAAAATATGAGATTCATTTGTAAATAGTCCTCTATAATTACTAATGTACATTAGGGAACAGCTGGTGGCAAAAAGAAAGCTATGCAACAAGAGTGTTCTAAAGATGAAAAAGCCTTAATGTGATTTCACATGAAGATACAAACTTCTTCAAACAGAAAACTTACTTATTAATGTATGTACTACTTCATTAATATTTACACTCCTTCATTAACAAAACATTAATTTTAGCCTTAAATTAAATAACATTCACTATGATAACAACTTCATGAATTAATGGGTGGGGAGAGGGCACAGGCAAGTCTTTGCCATAATTCTTGACTTAACAAAAAAAATCTTGACTTGCATATAAATATATCATATTATATTGTGTGAGTAAGCTAGATGTAACAGTACAAATCCATCAGAAAATCCAAACAACCCTTGGCACTTGCATGGCTTCCCCCATGTATAGAGAGCAGAATGTTCTCATTGCTGAGAGGGGAATCTGAAAGCAACCTTGAATTGTAAACTATCTGGAACAGTCCTACATTATTTTCATAAACAAGTTAAAACTTATCAGGCACAGAGCAAATAATTGTTTTCCTTAGAAGCTCAGATAAACTTATTTCATTTGAACAAATCTTTAAAATAATGAGTAGATTTTTAACGCAACCAGTAAAACATTGAATGCAGTTAACCCATAATTTTATTTTACTAAGGTACACCCTTGATCATGATCACTGGGACAATTCTCACTCAAGCACACACAGACAACACACCAATCACAACATTATTAATAGTCTTCAAAAGTAGAAGTGTCTCATCATTTAAATACATTATTGCATGTGATTTCTCCAGACCAAAAGTAACTTGATTGGGTTGACAATTATACTGGAGAGTGCTGCAGCAAATCAGTCTTCAGTCCATAAGACAACACAAGTCTTATCAGAGGAGAGGGCTTTCATGATATATTTCATTTGGATGAGCGTTTTGATTGCTGTCATTTTTCCTCGAACTGCATTGCTATTAGGACAAAAAGAAGAAAAAAAAGGAGGATGCAAATTAGAACCCTATTATACCACAGTAATAAAAAAAAAAAAAAACATTACTAAAAGATTTTGACTCACTGCTTGTTTCCGTTCCCATGTTTTCATTGCCATTTTATACTTTTCAAATTCATGGCACCAGTCTGAATATATTTTCTGGTAGTCTTGGCTTTTATTTGGTGAAAGACAACGGTGTGCATCAACAGTGATGTTGTAAGATAATAGTAACGAACCTCCCATCCAACAGTCATAGCGTCCAGCATCGGCTTCTGTTACACCTAGTATTACTAAGCCATGCTCAGAAGTCTCAATATATTTGTCAGCCCTAAAAAAATAAAAATACATGAGGATTAAAAAAAATTGGAAAGAAGAAATAGAATTGAAGAGAGCCGGAAATCAGAATCACAGTTTACTATACCTGAATTGAATTTGGTAACGGCCTTTCTCTTTGGAATAATGGTACCAAGTAACAGTTTGTGACCTTAGGACTTCAGGCATTTTCAAAAAGCAGCTTAAGTGGATAGACTGACCCCATGTCACAACTAACTTTTTCTTTAGGACTGATGAGTCACAAACACCAGCAGTGTCATTAGAAACATCCTGAAGCAAACTGTAAAACCAGGATTAAATCAATTCAACAAGTAAACACCCAAATTACTGAAACTGTCATTTATGTTTGGCTTTTTCAGGAACCAGTTTACAAAATGATTCAAACAAGAAAATTCTGTTTGTGAAGAAAAATACTTACCCATATTCATAGCTTTTACAAGTTGAAGTGTCTTTATCCCAACCACAGTAAGGGTCATGGACACATCGTAGACAATTATTGTAACGTCTATTGCACATGACCAGGTCAACCTGACGAATGCGGTGGTCAGATGCAACGTAAAGCGACTTTTGCTGAAAAAAATAAAAACATTATGTTAACATATTTAGCACAATAGTATTACTTGAGTTTTCCAGTCTAGGTACATAATATGATGCATATGCTTACCTGGCGTGAAATTTCCATCAACCTAATGGGTTCTCCTGGGGTCACATCAAACACATCAAGAAGAATAGATTGAGGTTCACCGTCAGATTTAATCCATTGCACCACTTTGTACACTCGACCAACATCTAATATAAGAAAACAAGTGGATTTGTTAGTGGTAATTTCAGTTACAAGACAAGAGAGTAGAGAGTAGAGAAATGAGCACTAAAGACAAGGTTAGGTTTTCTTAGTCTTTCTTTGCATAATATGTACTTACTAGAGCCAGTGTAGTAAACAACATAGTTCCTCTCTTCACCATCTACATTGATATTAATTTTGTCAACAACTAGATGAGTAAGGATCAAATCTCGCTTAAAGAATACGGGAACCCCACGTTCGTGAGATACAGCAGCATCCATAAGTGGGTGAGAGCGGATAAAGTTGAGGACAGAATCTGAAAAGGAAAATATAGTGTCAGTACACTTTTGAAAAGTAGCCATTAAACCAGTATAAGGGAGTAGTAAGAAAAATTACCAGGCAGAGTTTCAGTGTCATTCACACATTCACCAGGGCGAGGATCAGGGACACGGGTATTTAAAACGGGGAGCCACGCTGAGGAGGAATGGGCCTGCTCCTTGAATTTTCCTCGGAAAGCATCTTCAATATCTTCAATTGTGAATGAACAAATAGCTGAACCCATCAGCCCATTGGTTGAAGTGGTGAATGTACCATAGAAGCGACTATCATCTCCAGGGACTTTGTATATACTCTCTGTTGGCAAAAAGAAAAAAAATAATATTTGAGGGCATTGTTATGAATAAATCTAGTCACTTTGTATCAAAGAGTATGTGAGTTAGCCATAGGGATTCTCCCGTAAAATTTTGGTCTAGGTTGGGCCATATTGACGCCAGCTCACCTACCCTAGGATACAAAAAGACTCCTAAAGAAGTAAAAAGCAGATATTTCTCAGTAAAAACTGTTGCTTGGTTGTTAAGAGAGTTAACTTACGTATTTCATTGAAGTAGAATGGAAATTCTCCAGGAATAGAACAGTTCAGTCTGGCCTTCAGGTAGGTAGTCCAGTTTTGCGACAAGATATTCTTGCCGCCTGTATCCTTCTTACATACACGAGCGACTCGCGAGTATACTGATTTACCGCAATTGATATATTCAACTGCCGTCTCACGGAAGAAGAAGTAGACATAATTTCCGATGTCAAAAGAGCCCACAAAGTTGGGTTCTGAAAGAAAAACACATTGCAAATGAATATATAAACCAGACACAAATGAAATAAGACAAAAAGCAATTAATTTGCTACTTACTGTCGAGCCACTTGGAGTCGTACTTCAATGTCCTCTTGAAAGTGTATTCTCTCCTCCCCGTGGTCAGGTTGTGCAAGTCCGTGCGGAAAATGACGGTGTCGGCTTTGGTGAACTCGGCGTTGGTCCCCGAGTACAGGCCGGGCAAGTCACCAGGATTGCCTCGCTCCACCCAGACGGCAGTAGAGTTGTCCGAAGGGTCGTAAGGGCACTTTGCGACCCCTGTGCCAACCCCCGGGACGTACTCGTGGCGTGGCAGGTGCGTCAGGTTCGACTGGTCGGAAGGAAACACGGGTCATACGAT